AAATAAATTGGAACACAAGAAATAGAATAAAGTTATTTATTTCTATTTGTGAAAGCTATTGAAAAAGCTCAATAGTGCAACATTTTGGTGACCCCTACGTGATTTTATTGTTGTTACATTATTGCTTTACATTAAAGCAACAAACTTAAAAGATCAGCAACCTGTCATTTCGTTTTGTGCGGCTTATATACATATAAGCAATCGCCGTCGCTTTGCTTACTCTCGGTCGCTCAAAGTTTTTTGTTCTTTCGTGCGTAACTTATGTACAAGCTATTGCCGTTGCTTCGTTACATAGCTTGACACTTGCGTTCGCCGAAATTCTTACAGCTATTGTTTTTGAGCGGTTAACATGAAGAGCTTGACTTGGATGAAATTGGTAGCCAATTGCGTGAGGACTTCGACGAGTTAGCCGTTTCTATTGAAATTGAGTGAAATCGCGAAATGTGTCTCAATATTGCTCTGCTCAACATATCGCGACCAATCTGTGCTGCCCGCGCAGACAGTTAGAGCTAAGGCACTGCCGGCATTACCCTCATTAAAGTTGCCTACGTTCAGTGGTGGTTACACAGAATGGGCCTACTTTTATACTATGTTCACAACCGTCATAGAAAATCATCCGGATTTAGGCCGTAACGCTAAGGGAGTTGTCAGACCAATTCGACGCACATATTCGCGCGTTAAAGAGCACCGAACCAAAGACAATATAAACACTAAGATGAGTAACGCGCATACATTTGAATGCGACGCAAAATTTCTAGCCTGGCCTTTCATCTGGCCTTTGAGGCTTCGTACGGCATGCCTGCCGACTGGTTGTTCGTTCTCCAAAGACCAGACGAACGAATGCCGAAGTCGCGGCTTGCTGATGCTGACACGAGCTACGAAGTTAGTCGCCAGCCTGCCTTCAGCAAAGCTGGTCGATGCTGCTTTGCGTCGCTTCGTTTTCGAAGTACATTGAGCGAAAAAGTTTAGAGCTTACGATCGACGCAAAGTGATTGTACTTTATCCATGAAATGCATGCTTTATTTAAATGATATATTACCCTAGATATTAACAAATAATTTTACAGGAAAATTGAAGAACTTTTATAATTTTTACACAAGGCGCTTCTTGCGCAATAACTATGTTAAGAAAATAGCACACATAGATTGATTTCAGTCTTCTTTTTGGACAGTGTATGCTCGAGAAAAGTTCTTGTCTCAGCCAATAGCGTGCGTGCACCTTTCGTTGTATGCGTGAATGATACATGCATAAGAACTATAAAGTATGTATGTATGTGTTGTTATTCACTGCTCTGGCTTTAGCTGGCAAGAAATTAATTTTGTTAGTTTTCTAGCGCAGATCATGACCTATCCCAAATTTGTGTTGATATATGAATGCATTTTGTGTACTGAGGTTGGCTCCGCAGAAAATATGTATTTCTAAGTCGATGCAAATATTTACATAATTTCTTTAAATTTAATTAATATTATTTATATTCTCTAATTAAGAAACAAAAGAGGGCTAAAAAATACAATTACATATTTATTTGTATAAATAAATATGACTTTTGATTCAATATTTAGTTAGATATTTTATTAATTCAATTTAGATATTGCACTTGCAACTCTATGCCAAAAAGGGCGCCAAGCTTTAAGAATATGGAGCACAAAATGTAATCGATAGCTTACGATTGCATCGAGCTGCCGACTTTTTCCATTTTGCGAAAAATTATTATTTGATCGCATTTTGAATACTTAAAAGTTAACATTCGTGTCAGTGACTTAACGGAAAATTAGTGTGCAATTAAAATTTAGTGTTTAGTGCCAAAATTGCAAAATTCCAAAGCAGAAATACTTTTGGCGCAAATTTCGGGTGCCGGTGTGTCGCGTTCTTTCAAGGGAATTCTGCTTGCCACTTTTAGCCGTTGCTGCTTGATACGACTGGAAAGGTTGCAAGTATCTAACTTAATATAATAGCCTTTTTTTAATTATTATATACTTTACTGAATTATTTATATACTTTATATATACTATATATATTGTATATATTAATACAAATAATTTTGATTTTAATTTTATAATTTTATTTTTTGCATAAATATTGTGTGTGATATTTTTGTAATGGCTGAAAAAAGGAGAGATCAGATAAGTAGCAGCAAGTGTAGCCTTCGTCACTGCCAAAAATCTAGGCGCGACTTTCCAGGAATAAAATTATTTAAGTTTCCAGAAAGGGATCCATCAATTTTAAAACAATGGGCTGAAAAATGCAACTTTAGTGAAGATTTTGTTGCGAACACATCTGCTCTTTTTTTGTGCCAATATCATTTTGCGCCGGAAAAAATTGGATGCAGATATCTGAAACAAGGAGCAATACCAGATCGGAATATGGACGCTGGTAATAATTGCACTAGTAATGCAAATTATTTAAATGTTTTAATTTCGCCCCCAAGAAAAAGAAAACGTTCACAGTCTCCAGCTGAAATTTGTCGTCAGTGTCATAAAAACACAACGACGCTTAAATATTATCAAAAGCAATATTTCTCATTTAAAAAAATTGCTGAAGCAAGAAAAATAAGAATCAACTTATTAAAAAGAGAAAATACTAATTTAAAACAAAAGATCAAAAGATTGAAAGTCAACGCATATGAAAGTCTTATTTCAAAAGTTGATAAAATGGATCTTACAGGAAATGAACAAATTCTGATTAAAATGCTTTTGAAAGAAAAAAAAGGAACATGTTTAAGATGGAACGATTCCGAAAAACTATTCGCACAGGGTATATTTTACAGGTCAACGTCAACATATAAGTTTTTAAGAGACTCTTTGCAATTAAATCTTCCTAGTCCATCATCCTTGCAAAAATGGAACAGCATTAAAAAGCTACAGCCTGGAGACAACGAATGTTTGTACTCGGCTCTTAAAGATGCTATTAAAGGAATGAGTGAATGCGACAAGGAATGCATTCTCACATGCGATGAAGTTGCAATTAAGAAAAATTTGACCTACAATACCTCTGTTGATGCTATTGATGGCTTGGAACATTTACTTGAACGTTCTAACAAAATGGGCAGTCACATTTGCGTTTTCGTTTTACGAGGAATTTTTAAAAAATGGAAATTTATTTTAAACTATTTTGTTCCTGAAACAAATATAAAAGGAGAATGCTTGAAAGTCCTTATTTTAAGAAATATAAATATTGCTGAGAATATCGGATTCACATTAAGGGGTGTAGTCTATGATCAAGGAGGAAATAATAGAAAATGCACCTCATTGTTCAAAGTGACAAAGGAGAAACCATATTTTTATAATAATAATAAGAGATATTATATGTTCTATGACATTCCTCATCTTTTTAAATCTTTGAAAATATATTTTCTACTAATAAGATGCAACTCAACATTAAAAAACGCATTATAGAGCAATGTATAAAGTGCACTAAAGAAAGTGTTTACTCATCGTGGTTTGATGAAAATGATTCATGCTTCATCCATAAAATATCTCTTCTGGACAAACTTATTAAAGTTTTACTATTCAAACATTGTAAATGGACAGTGATGACGGATAGCTATAAAAAGAAAGCAAAACTTAATATACTTTCACATAAATGAACATGTTACAAAACGAATATGCAGGTATATGCCAGATCTAAAAGAAAGAACTTCTATAACAAAATAACATTGTTGGGGAATATGGAAATATTTTAATTAAAAAAATTAAAGCATTTCAAGTCGACTCGAAGGTCATATTTAGTTATGATCCCATTATAATTATAATGGCCTCCTCGCGGTGTTCCCTGGGTACCGATTTTGCATCGGTAGCTAATTCGAGCGGCGACTTTGTTCTTTATAATTCGAACAAAAAATAATAAAATAAAAAAATAAAAATTAATTAAATGTATCTTTGAAAACAACAAATTTGCACTTTTATTTCCTTAATTTATGTTGTATTACTTAAAAATAATAATAATTTAATTAATAATTTCAAATATAAAAAATTACATAAATATTTGCATCGACTTAAAAATACATATTTTGTACAGAGCCAACCTCAGTACACAAAATGCATTCATATATCAACACAAATTTGGGATAGGTCGTGATCTGCGCTAAAAAACTAAGAAATTGTTTCTTTGCCAGCCAAAGACTTTGCCAGAGCAGTGGATAACAACACATTCAAATATGCTGTTATGTATGTATATTCACACGCATACAAACATAATTGCTTGCGCGGCCCTCATAGAGCCGAAGCTGAGAGCACATTCTATTTTTAGCTTTTTCGTTCTCTCGGCTGTGAGAGCGCAATGCTACAGATTTCGTTTTCGTTCTCAATTTTCAAAAAATCAAGCTTCATAGTAGCATTTTGTTGTATGGCGTTACTCATCTTAGTGTTTATATTGTCTTTGACCGAACATTCGCTGGATGCATCATTGTACAGATTATTCTACAAAAGCTGGACCCAACATCACAAGCCAAGTGGGAAGAAAGGCTAAAGGATTCGACATTCGTCAACTTAATACCAGCGTGGGAGCACATGGCTACGTTTGGAGCAGAGATGCCGAACAATGGATACCGTAAATTTTGCCATGGCAAGCTATGCCCCTTGCCATCAGGTGGGAAAACTAACCACTAACCACGACGCCCCTGTCTGCGTTTTTTGTGATAGCCCTGGTCATGGCATATATAATTGTTCCGGATTTGGAAACTTGTCCCCTGCATTACGGCTTAGGGAGGCAAAACGACTTCCATTGTGCTTGAATTGCCTAAAGAAAGCCATCAATTGCGATCATGCAGCTCTGGATGCTGTCGGACCTGCGGGGCGAAGCATCACTCCCTGCTGCATTTAAATAATTCTGGGTTTCCGTCTGGTCAGCTGACTGCGTCTGCTGATTCTTCTTCAATTGCCCACTCCTCTTTCGCTAAGTCGTCGCCATCTACCTCCACCTCTCTTGTTGCCCAGTATTTCAAAAGTGATGTTGTCCTGTTGGCTACTGCTATGGTGGTTGCTAAAAATCGCTTTGATACCTTTTGATTCCTTTGTGACAATTTTGTGTGGATTTTATCATCTATTTTAGATTTTCTGAATGTGGCTGCAAATGCAAAGGAAGTTAAATTATAAAGCTCTCTTTCGATTCTTTTATGTAAAATCCAAAAAAAAAAGTGAATACAATAAACTTAATTAACAGTAAGAGCCAGAGCGCCGCACTCTCTGCTTACATTTTCAGACAAATTCAGTGGCTTTTTCAGGTGGGCGCCCTGGCTGCAGGAAGCGCTAGTCAAAGCAACATGCATAAATATATATATAAAGTCTACATACATGTTGGCTACATTAGCTAGGATAGCGTTTAGATTAAAAAGCGAATAACAAATAGCAAAATAAAATTTACTTGGATGCGCCGCGCCCCCTTAGTTGGTGGCCGCAATGGGCACGTAGTTGGGCAAGGAGATGCTGGCTGGAGCCGTATTGTTCAGTGCCGACTCTGTGGTCTTCAGCTCCTTAGTGTTAAGGCTTGGACGCGAATTGCGTTTGCTCTGTGGATGGCCGCCGTTGTTAATGGGCGACGGTGTTTTGGTTGTAGAATCTGGCAGAGAAGACACACTTTGCGACTTGTCCCCGCCGGCGCCGAATTCATCGCTAGCGGAACGTCGCGCCTTGCTCAACAGCTTCAGTTAAAGAAGCACAAGTCCTCAGCCATTGTCTCTGGTCTAGGAGATTCTCGTTTTGACACAGAAGGAAATACGGTCACTATAACGATACAGTCTCGAGTATCTGAGTACTCAACATGCCTCACAGCCCTGATAGCGCCTACCATAACTGATAACTATCGTAACTGCAAACTTGAGTCATGTTCTGAAGAACGTGCTGATGAATTCGTGCGTCCATTTTGGGAGATAGAAGCCTGCTTGGAAAGTACACCTACCACATCAAAGCAAGAAACTGATTGTGAAGAGCATTTCTTAAGGACTCATACGATTCCCTAGTGGCCAATATTGAGTTCATTTACCCTTCAAGCGAAGTTTGGAACGCAAACTACAAAATCGTCCAGACATGAAGATTCAATATTGAAATTTTCTAAAGGAATACTTGGATCTGGGTCATATGTCGCCTGTCGCTCCAGATTATAGGACTTTGTCAATATTTTCTTCCTCATCACTGTGTCTTTAAAGAAGACAGTTCAACGAAAAAGTTGCGAGTCGTTTTCGACGGCTCCGCAGCTTCCTCGTCAGGATATTCATTAAATAAACTATTGATGGCTGGTACTGTTATTCAAAGCTCGTTATTTCACATCCTTCTTCGCTGTCGTAATTTCCCGGTCGCCCTAACAGGAGATATTGGTAAGATGTATCGCTGCGTACGCGTTACAGCACCGGACGATTTTCTCCAATGCATTCTGTGGCGAGACTCGCCAGAACAGGATTTAAAGATTTTTAAGCTGGATACAGTTACATACGGAACAAAGCCAGCGTCATTTCTCTCTGTCCGTGTTATGCATCAGCTGTCTGTGGATAAGGAAATTAACTTCCCAATTGGATATCGGATTCTGCGGCGTGACTTCTACGTTGACGACCTCATTTCAGGTGGTGACTCCATTCAAAAAGCAAAGGAAATTCTTAATCAGACGGCTGGAATCTTGGCAAGTGGGGGCTTCAAGCTGCGAAAATGGTGTTCAAATAATGATGCTGTTTTAGAAGGGATACCCGAAGAGGACATAGAATCGTCTCTAAAGTTTGATGATGAGAGCGACATCGCCAAAACTCTTGGACTTGCTTGGGACTCAGCGTCGGATCGGTTGCTATTTTCGTTCTTGTCCATTCAGCAGATCTCCAAACCATCTAAAAGATCGACCACAAGCCAGTTGTCAGCTGTTGTGTTCCAAATCGCGTGTAGCTCCTCTGAAAAAAATCACAGTTCCAAAGCTAGAGCTCTGTGGCGCCGTGTTATTATCTAATCTCATGCGTGAGATATCTAAAATGGCACTCTTTGATGGAAAATTCTACTGCTGGTCGGATTCTTCTGTTTGCCTTTCCTGGATAAAGACCGAACCCTGCAAGCTCAATGTGTTTGTAGCTAATCGTGTTACAGCAGTTCAAGAGCTAACAAATGGCATGGAACGGAGCTTACGTTCCTACTTCACTCAATCCGGCTGATATACTCTCGAGACGATCTACACCCAGTGAATTAAATCAATCGTCACTGTGGTTCAACGGTCCAGAATTTCTATGTGGAAACAAATTGGACTGGCCTGCTTCTTGCTTGCCAGAAAGGCCAGAGCTCGAGCTAAGAAAAAAGGTCCTTGTTGCGTCATCTCCCTTCGTTGATATATCTTCCACTTGTGAATACGCTAACTCATTTGATACAATGCAGCGTATATTCGCATATATCTATAAATTCATACACAAAAGCAGGCATCCTGGACTAACAGTGTGTGATATACAACATGGGACCAAACTCTTACTGCGGCTCGTCCAGAGAGCACACCTGTGGGAACAGATTAAATCACTGCGATCGAAAAGAGCTGTTAAGCCATCCAGTTGTATCGCATCACTTAACCCTTTTTTTGATGAGTTCGGCATTCTTAGAGTTGATGGGCGCCTGAAAAACTCTTCGCTGGATTTCGAAGCTCGCCATCCAATAATTCTTCCGCGGAACCATCCCATCACAGATTCACTCATTACAAGGTTTCACAATCAGGACTTAAACTCTGGTCCACGGGCACTTCTCGGTCATAATCGGTTGCAGTATTGGCCGATTGGTGGAAGGAAGACCGTATCCAAGGTGGTTGGCAAATGTGTGAGATGCTTTCCAAACCACGATTAGTGGAGCATGTAATGGCTGATCTTCCCAAGGAACATTTGACTGCATGTTGAGCCTTTGAAGTCTCTGGCGTTGACTATTGTGGATCATTTTTCAATAATTCATTGGCGTTCGCACCAGACCTCCTGCCGGATGCGGCGGTGGCAGTGCCGACGCTCCGTCAGCGTCAGAAACCCAGTCAGACACCTGTTCCTCAGTCATACTGATCCCTTCAGAAAACCGTACCCCTCTATACTATAAGGCTTACTAACCTTAATACAAAAAAAAGGTCACAAATAATTCCTATTAAATAGATAAATAAATAAACAACGGCATTCAAGGAACGCTTGCTTGAAATCTATTTGGCTTCTGTCGAACTTCTGGGAACCTCTGGGACATGCTGTGTGACAGATACGGCGCAGGATCCAATCTATATCGTCCTGGGTCACCTGTTTCCGAAACTCATTTAACTACGGCCAGCACACACCGAACGTAAACACAGAGTGGGACAAAATAAATAGTAAACATTAAACAAACTCTAACAAGACCTACCCTAATATCACATTTTATCACAGGTTAATTTGTCATGGCGGCTACCACCAGGCTACGGTGAACGGTCGCGAACGTTCGCCAACATGCGAACGTGATTTACCGCCATCAACCTCGACAAGAAAACTCTCCATGTTAATGGACACCATTGCAAGATCCGTTTCCGTCGGTCTTCTGGCCATTCTTGGGATATGCTGTGTGACAGATGCGGCGCAGGCTCGATTCTATATCGTCCTGGGTCACCTGTCTCAGAAGCTCATATGACTACGGCCAGCATACATCCAACATGGACACAAAATGAGACAAAAACTACTAATTGAATAAATAACATCTGACAAAACTACTCTAATATCACTTTTTTTTTTATCCCGAGATGCCTTTGTCGTTGCGGCCACCACCAGGCTACGATGAACGGTCGCGAACGTTTCGCCAACAGCCAACGACAAGAAAAACTTCTTATGCTCAGGGATATTCTAGTAATCTACATATGAACGGATGGCGTGGAATAACAAACTAACTTTTCCTTTTCAGATTCCCCTGGCACTGGCCGTAACCTTTGGGTCGTCTCTTTCGACGCAACCTCGGCAATGTATTCCCTTCTTTTCTTTTAAGTTAAATTTTAAATAACAGAGATGGCAAAAAATAAACTAACTTATCTTAATTATGTACATATTTCTTATTCTTATTCTACAGCAGTTCAAATGGGACCCAGAGTTGGACTGCCCCTCGGGTTCACTGGACCCTGCCTCTATGCTGGGGAGTGGCAAAACGCTCTTGGAACGGACTCACTTTGGTGATGTGGGTGTGGTCTCGCCTGTGTCCGCTTCGTCTCTAGGTCGTCTCTCGGTGTCGGCGACGGTGCGAAAAGACGTTGGCACTCGTCGGCGTGCCTTCTAATGCGGATCCCTCTCGCTTCGATGATATTGGCCGGGCCACAGATAACGGCTTGTGAGGCGGGAGAAACAGCCGGTCGTCCTCTGCGTGGCTCCTTGGTTGGCATTTTGATGTTCATTATTGTATTTTATTTTCATTTGTTTATCTTCGTCCAGCCGATGCTCTTTTGGGTCAGGGACGAGTATTAAATGAGCGAATCTTTTTTTGGTGCACGACACAAAGTTTTTTCTTTTTATTCACGGCCGACGATTTTGAGAAAATTAAATGTTTTGCGCTGCTCGATGTATTTTTTTTGTATATATATATATATATATATATATATATATATATTTACTACGTTACGTGGCGTTATTTTATTATATGGGATTTAATTTTGTAAATTTTTCCGGCGCCATTGATTTAAAGTAAAATGACTGTGCCATTTCTTTTTGCCTTGCACAATGTTTATTTATTTAAATTTAATTTTAATTTTCTTTCAAAGATGCGCTTGCGCACAACACGCTTGTCATTTGGGCACCATCGGTGACGAATTTCGGCACACGCATACATTTACGAGGCGGGCACCGTTGCTGCCCTTCTGCACAGCTGCATTTTTTTGGGTCAACGGCTCAAATGAAGACCAAGGGCCTATCCAAGGGCAGGCGATCCGCTCTCTCTACCATCTCTTAAGGAGCGAATCGGGCGGTCAATAGCAATCGCACCTTTTGGCGTCGTAGATCGCAAGCCCGGCGTTGCCACTTTTCAATAAATTGAGCGCCGCTATGTGCCCGGCTTCACCCCCGATACTCTGACCCTATGACAAAAGTTATCAGCGTGGCCGATAATCAAGATGGCGCCCAACTAGGAAAGCTATCGATGCCGATAACGTAAAATGCAACAAATAGCAGCAGAGAAAACAATACAATCGCAATTGCAATGCTGTTGATCGAATTCAATAAAGACACGCTTGAATGTGTGTGTGTACATGTATACAGATATATATACATGTATACAGATATATATATTGTGAGGCGGCTAATCAGACCAGCCACCCCACAGTTTTCACGGCAAGGAGCCGTCATCCCTTTGGCCCAAATTACGGCAAGGAGCCGCTGGCGGGAGAACGTATTAATTTTCTTTAGTTATAAGTATTAATTATATTAGGTTAAGATCTTAGTGAAATAAGAGGCAAGGAGCCATGAGTAATATAAGCAGTTCGATTAGTAGTAAAGAGGCAAGGAGCCGCGAATATTATAATTGATTTAAATAGTGAGTTTGAATTTAACCGCCGGCCGCCGCTGCAACCGTGCGTTGTCGATCGGTTGCTCAACACCGTCTTTGAGAGCGCAACTTCAATTCGGCGGCGAAGAGCGAAAGCTCCGAGGCGAAGTTGCGAAAGCTCACGGCGAAGTTGAGCGGCCGA